TCACACAAATACGTCAGATTGCTTGAAAATTGCAATTATACTACCAGCAAAAGTAGGACATCAGAATGCCTAAAAATCACATATTAAAAACTAACCTTTGACAGGTCAATTGGAACATCAAGATAATGGTCAAGAAAATTAGCATTTTGCTCTGGATCAAGAAGCTCCAACAAAGCACTTGCGGGATCACCAGCATGCCCCCTTCCCAACTGCCACAAGACAAGGCAAAGTTAAACAACCATGAACTTATTGCAAAACTCAAAGCACTTCTGGTTTTGTAAATAATCATTTTAGAAACCATTCCTCACTCTAAACTACAAAAGAGACCGGCAATATGATGTCTCTACAAAAGAGACCGGCAATATGATGTCTCTCAGGTACAATATGAATCAAACCAACCAGCCATAATATATTACCTTGTCAATCTCATCAATCAGAACTAAAGGGTTAGCTGTTCCCACGTTTTTAAGGCATTGTACCATCTTTCCTGGCATAGCACCAATGTAGGTCCGACGATGCCCCTGGATGTGATTTTAGAAGTATATAAGGAATAGCTCGTGCTGTATAGTTGTTATCAAAGTTTCAGTGCACAAAGCTTGCTAAATACCTTAATTTCAGCGACATCAGATAATCCTCCCACAGAGAATCGGTAGAAATTACGGTTCAAGGCACGTGCAATTGAGCGACCAATGCTGGTTTTGCCCACTCCAGGTGGACCAGAGAGACAAATGATTTTCCCTGTGATAAATAAGCAGAATATCAATAATCCGCACTGCTATCATGAAAACCAGCACAGATTTGGACATCTTTTGCAACCTTGGATATCAATATAAAATAAGAGTTAAATCAGCGCCTGAGAAACAAGATAAACAATGCAATGAGGCAATGCTACTAAATCAAGGTAGACAATTGTGAAAGATGAAAACTATACCAACCTTGTGACATTCCTCTAAGTTTCCCGACAGCAATAAATTCCAATATCCTTTCCTTTACATCACTTAATCCGTAGTGATCTTCATCAAGAATCTTTTGAGCCCGAAGAACATCAAAGTTCTCATCACTGCATTTGGGATTTGGATAAGAGAAGTTATAATATTTAGAAATCTGCTAAAAAGTTAAAAATACAATAAGGACGCGTTACTTCAATTAAATAACAAAATAATGCTTACCACAAAATAATAAGAACAAGACAGTAACTCAAATAATATATCTTATATACCTACCAAATATATCTTTTTATAGTTTTTTAAACCTTCTCACGCTAGTATCCATTATCCCATTTTAGATTTATATAAACGAATATTCATTACAGATATTCCTATCCAAGTATGGCATGGTGTTAAATTAACAATAAATGGCTTTATAATATAGTTCAAAGAGTCTAAACAGATTATCTTTCAGCATCCGAGCCACAAATATGACATCAATTATTGGAATGTCGAATATCCTTCGCAATTTGATTAACTAAATTGAATAGTGCAAAAACCTGTAATTTCCCCATGGAATGGAAGTCAACCAATCTAGGTAATTACGCGTCACATTAAATTCACTGGAACTAGCCTCCAAAAGCTGCAGTTTTGTAAGCTCTTCTTCTATAACTTGCAACACATGAGGTGGGCATTTTTCCCTGTTTGGTTCAAGTCTCTCCCTGAACTTTGCTGCACCACAGAATCACAAAAATGATGCAGCCGTTATGTATATGAACAATCAATATTTAGAATAGATTATCAATGTTATCTACAAACATGCTTGAGTCACAGTCAGAATAAAACTGATGTGAGAAAGCACCAACAGCAGCCATGATGTGCACATATTTGCAAGCATGGTCGCGAAACTTAATGTTATACAAAGTCAGTCTTAGTCCTCGAATGTATGCATCTTGTGATCACATAATGCAATACATAAACAACGTTTGTCTTACTAAACATCTATAACAATATAGAGAAGGCCACACATATATTTGTTTTCGATTTCACGGTAATGTAACAGCCTTTGACTTTTGAAAAGGCAGGGAAAACAATACACACACACATACACACACACACAATATCTAGGTTTGCGAGAGTGTTAACTTAATAAAATAAAAATATTAAAAAATAATACTAACCAGAAAGTGCTGTTTTGTCATCTGCCTCCAATCCCAGTTCCTGCATCATGTCAAGCCCAGTAAGTTTACATAATCCCCAAGAATGAAATAAAGAAATGGATATAAAACCCCTCATAAAGAAAACAGATCACTGAGAAATCCTCATCCACATCCAATGGGGTAATGGCATAAAAAATGTCTAATGAAGGTTGGAGAGGGGAGACAAACACCTTTTTTATTGCTTTAAGCTGCTCATTCAACAAGTAGCGGCGTTGTTCACCACTTATCTTCTCTTCAATTGCCTTTGCAATAGATTCCTAGATATAACAAAAAAAGGAATTAATAAAAGAGAATCAAACCATAGTGGAGAATATATGCTACAAAACAATGACATATTGGCATGTCACACCTGAATCTTGCTGATTTCTATCTCTTTCTTCACTAGTTCCAATGTAAGCTTTAAACGTTTATAAACCTGAGCAAAAATTGCACGGTTAGAAAGCATTGTCGATATGATAAGATTGAGTATAAAGTCACATCAATCATCCCAGTTACGAATTGATTAACCTATGCTTACATCTAGCTCTTCAAGCACTTGCTGACATTGAAACTTGTTTGCACCAGATATAGCCGCTCCAAAATCTGCTAACCTTGGAAAATTAAAATCACCTATATGCTGCACAAATATAAATAAAAAGAGGAAAAAACAAAATGTGAGGAAAAAAAAGGTTTCACATGTTGCAAGCAAATAAATTTATTTTGAAGTACAGAGGCATTCAAAATGAAAGATGCCTTAAATTTCACAGATTATGAGAAATTGAACCTGAGTGTATGTTTGAACATGATCCCTCCAAAGGGAACTAGTCTTCAGAACGTCTCTTAAAGTCGATATAACCTCAAACGACGTTGCCTTTATGACATCATCATCCTTGTCATAGGGTTTGTCCTGAAATACAAAGTATAAACCCATAAGAAAAGGAGAGAGAAAAATCTACTTTATATGTGGAACCTCCAAAAATAAACAAACTGAATTGGTAAAAATTGAGACAAATGTGGACCTTGAGATGGTCAACTTTTACAGTCAGAGGATCCTCCTCAACCTGCAGACAAGCCATAAGTTTGCTTAGTTTAACTATACCAATTTGTATTATAAATGTGTTTGAGTGTGTGTTTGCACATGCAAAATCTACGGGCACATACTTAAATATTGAAAAGTTTCACTAGAATAAAATGTTATAATCAGTTCAATGAAATGTGAAAATGAATCGCGAGACATATATGAGGTGATGAGCCAAAAAAAGATGCTAAATATGCCTGCTAAAGTCATTGACCAAAAGTTCATGCTTACTGATTAGTTTCCCTCACCATCTCTGTAATTCGAAGTCGCCTATGACCAATTAGAACAACTTGGTCTCCTTGAATGCTTGAAATCTGAAATATGAAGACAACAGGTATAAAAATTCATAAAAACTGAAGGAAATTCTACTGTATGTCCAGTTAATCCACAGAATTAAGGGCATATGGAACTTGGGAGTAAACTAGATACCTGGGCAAGAGTACCGACTTCATGCAGACGATTAAATAACTCCTTCCCTTTTAAGTCCGTTATGTTTTTATCTGTTTCAGAACCTGAGACCACACTAGGATCAGTCCCTGGCTCATCCTTGAGAAGAAAAGCACCAGCATATGGAGCATGCCGTTTTCGGCTTTCTTGTAAAGCTGCCAACAACTTAGGATCCTACATCAGAAGCGACAGATTAGTTAGTTCAGTAAGTCAAATGTTATATAACACCTTGCAGTAACCGCAATTCAAGAATCGACCCAACAACCAAAATGCCAACTTGATTTTCACTGTATCCAATAATCTCATGTACCTTCACATAAATTGGCATGTAGAACCCTGGAAAGAGCGGTCGATGCGGCAATGGCAACGCTAAAACCTGACCGAAAGGTAATAGGAAACAAAAAGTTAATGGATAGATAGGGTATATAATTCATGAATCCATCATCCAACTTATCTGTTGGTTCGGAGAACACAAAATTTCTGGCTTTCTACTTAACAAAGAAAAACACTTAAACAAACTTGAACAAACCATCCCAAGAACTAAAAACATCCTTAACAACACAAACACCAACATAAACTGAATTGCGAAATTTAAGATTACAATTCAAAAACACAACAATTAACAGTAAGTTGAACATTTTCCTATATCTTCATTTTCTCCTAATCCAATTAAACTAGTTTAGCATAACCAAAAGCTCCAAATCCAAACCAACCGTTAGATAATCGTCGAGTCTCGGATTTGTGGGCACAATTGCCGACGAAGATTTCGACTCAGCGGCCTCTCCCTCTGCCTCGGCTTTCTTTACCTCAATTTCCGCCACCTGATCAGACCCATCTTTCCCGTCCGAGCAAAAATACGCTCGGCCAACCGAATTGGGCCGAGTCAACCCGGTGAGCGAGCTAATAACTCGGAGAAACGGCGAGGCGAGCTCGGTGGGCCCGGGACGGAGCCCCAAATTAGGACCCAGGCTATGGATTCGGGCCTGGAGGCATGAGGAGGAAGAAGACAGAAGCTTCAGCATTTGTCTTTAGCAGCAAATCGGTTGAAATTGTGGGAAAAATCGGAAATTGAATTTAGGGTTTAGGGTTTTTGGTAGCCCTAGCGGAGCAGTAGTGGGTTGGAGAGAACCGCCATTGTTGTGGAACTTAAAACTCCTTGAAGCAAAAGATATTGGGTTTCTTCAAGCGCTTGAATTTAAAGTTAAAGCCCTTCATAAACCCTTGTCGCTTGTACTTTCATGTGACGAAAATGCCCCTGTAGTTATGAAGAACTACATAAAGAATGGTGGGCGCAAAATGCACGATGCATCCAGAACCCCTGAAGTTTCCCGATAAAATTTCTTCAAACTCTCCCGGTAAACAAACAGAACCTTCGGCTTCTCTGCGTCACCAAAAATCCTACCGTGCAGTCCTTCAACATTCCGCTCGTTTCGGAGCTGCTAGGGAAGCAGCACTGGTCGGAGCTCAAAACCCATCTCAAAGGCTCGAGCTTTGCCGCAGCTCTTCACCAGCTGTTCGGCTCCGGCGCCGAGCCAGAGCTAACTCTCAAGTACTCAAAGATACGAGCTTTCTTAGATGGGTTTGTCCGAAACACCAAAATGCATTCGATTTCTTTGATTTTTCACATGGTTTCAACTTTCAATGTGTATGTAGCAAACCATTTTTGTACATTTTCGAGTACAATATGTTGGTGTTGGCATATGTGAAAAGTTTGCAGATACATTTGGGTTTTGGAGCTTTCAGAGAGCTCGAAATTATGGGTTCAAATTATCTTGTAATCCTTTGTTTAGTGCTTTGTTGAAGGAAGGTGAAATTGGTTATGTTGAATAGGATACACCAGAGCACAGTAGAATTTTCAACGTTGAATGCGTACAGTGGAAGGATTGGGAGGAGAAGTAAGGCTGATTTGTGTAAAGTTGGGAAATTGGACAAGGCAAAGGATGTTGCCAATGACACGAAGGCTTGGGGGATTTCACCAAATGTGGTTGCTTATAAGAGTCTGATTGATGGGCTTTGCAAGATGGGTGGTTTGGGGAAAATGTACAAAGCTGATGCCGTTTTGATGGAGATGGTGTAGAATATTGTTCGCCCGAGTCAGGTTTATGTTTAATACTTTGATTGAGAGGTTCTGTAGTAAAGATGAGAACGCAGAAGTTGCGATGAAGGTGTTTAAGGCGATAAGGAAGCAGGGTTTGAAACGGACTGTGATTACGCATAATTCGCTGATTGATTGGGGTATTACTGCAACGGGAAGCTTGATGAGGCTGGTGGTTTGCTGGATGAAGTGCTTGGCTTGGGTGTGAAGCCAAATGTTGTTACCTACAATGCCCTTATAAATGCATTTTGTAAGAAGATGCTGAAGAAAACTAGAGAGTGGTTTAACGACATTAGAATGCAAGGCTTTGCACCCAGTGTTATAATGTGTTGGTTGATGCCTATTGTAAGGATGGATTGATGGAAAAAGCAAATGTGTTGCGCAGTTTAATGTTAGAGGGAGGGATTTTCCCAACACTGTGGCATTACTGCCGGATTACTGGTTTGTGTAGACAGGGAAACGTTGAAATGGCCATGAACATTTTACATGAAATGGAGGTGAAGGGCTTGGAAGTTAATCTCATAAATCAGTAACACATAATGTATGAATAGATTGATTGTGCAAAGAAGGGAAGTTAAGAAAGGCATTGCGACTCTTAAACCAGACGGCAGACGATCAAAAAGGGTTTGTTTCCAGTAACTTGACATGCAAATACTCTGATGGATGACTAATGCAGGGAAGGAAACCTCAGGGCGGATTGAAGGTCAGAGAACAGATGGAGAAACAAGGCGTGCGAGCAAATATAGCAGCTTATGATGCGTTGATCATAGGATATTGCACAAAGGGCAAGCTTGAAGATGTGAATGAGCTTCTTAATGAGATGTTGGAGAAAGGGTTGATAGTCAAACTACTTACAAAATAGTATGAAAGGAAATGACTGATAAAGGTTTTGTTCCTGATATAGACTGGCACCTTTATTGTCTATCTAGCTCTTAACTATCGAAATGAGAAACCGAATTGGTTTCAATCTCACCCTAATGAAGTGTATTTTCTTCTGCATCACCGGCGAAGCATAATTCAGTAAGCATCTGCACACTGGTGTTCATAGTACTCTCGTCTCTTCGGTCTCACCTCTTAAATGTTATGATCCTTAGCGAAATGTTTCGCAAGCTTCCACACCATTCTTTATATCGCGACTTCAAGCTTCTTCCGGCTCTGAGAATTCTCATGGAGAAAAGAAGACGAGGTCCTGCATCTACTTTGACATTCGATTGGAATTTGTAAGCCTTGTTAGCTAAATTTGATTCAGTTTAATAATACTCTATGATTGAATGTTTGAGTTGTGGACTACAGCAGAAGCCTAAAGTCTCACAAAGTTATGGGGACAATAAGTTGTAGTGCAACTCTCAAACTTCTTTCAGCTAAAAGCCTAAAACCACCAAACTATATCAGGTCAAGCAGATGCGGTTTAGGCCGGTTGGGCAAAGCATTGTGGCTCGCTCTCTTGCACTCAAGTTCAAATCCACCAATTCATGGTTAATATCTTTTATTTCTAAGTCTGTAGGTAAATTCTTTTTTGGGTTCTTGACCCCATTTTACAACAAAAAGGAAAAACCACCCGTCCAAGAAAAAATTGGCAAGAGGAAAATGTAACAGAATTACTTAGAGTATACGTAAGCGTAATCATATTGATTAGAACAGATGTGTCTCCTCTATTCATTCAAATTTAAATCTTTCATCAAACGCTTTAGATTAATTTAAAAGTACAATAATGTGCAATAGACTTGAGCTCAAGTGTCTCGGTGCTCCGAGACACTTGAGCTGAGCTAAAGTCACCGAGACACTTGAGCTGAGCTAAAGTCCTAGGTTCGAACCGAGACACTTTGAGCTAAAGTCCTAGGTTCGACTGGGGAAGGTAATAATTAAACCTACAACAAAACGCAGCGTTTTATTGTCTAGTCACTCAAATCGAATCCCACAGAAGAAGCCCATGCTAAATTTCAAATCTGGAGTCTTGACTTCCATTCACACGGCTTAAGAGATTCTTCATTGTCGTTGAAGCTTCTTCATTTCAGAGCTTTTCTAATTCCATCTCCATTCACCATACAAATCCGAAATTAGGGTTTTTCTTTTCTCCCCAAAAGTACCTTAATAATCCCATGGATTTCCAGAAGAAGAGAATCCATTTACTGCTCTTCATAGTTGGCATCATCGTCCTCAGTATCACAGGTACACAAACACATATACACATATAGATATATATACACATATACATGTAAAGATTATCAATTTATTTTGTATTTCTGTGAAAACTGATTGGGAAGAATAAAAAATTTGAAGTATTTCTTTCACCCATCTTCTGGGATTTGAAAATTTTCTTACTTGATTATGTAAAGATCTGTTCTTTTGGTTGTTTCATTGGCTTAGGGTTTTGGGTTTAGGATCTTCGTATAATTAGGTCTCTCTTTTAGGATCTTTGTAAACCCTAAATCATTGCAAACAAACCGTATGAGTTTGAATGAAAATCCCAAAATTTTATGAACCCAGATTGTATAATTAGGTCTCTCTTTTAGGATCATTGTGGTGATGTGATTTGTGTATGATATTTGATAGCATGGAATAACAAATATCAAATCACCCATTGCCACATAATGCTTTAGCTTTCGATGTTGCGCCGTATTGCCAATGCTTAGGAAATTGGTGTCTTTCTTCTTTTGATATGAATCTGTTGAGGGGAGTGGGGAATTTGATTTGTCCTGTAGACCTGAGCTGATAGCTACAAAACCTTACAAGGTTTGGGACTTGAGTACCTCGTTGAAACATTGCTCGGAGAAACCCAGTGGGAAAAACCCAAGCAAAGGAAAAAGAATCCCGCACCCTGCCACCCACGTTACAAATCAGTATAGAGAACTTATAAATGAAGATGAATCACTATTTTGATGTTAATGTTCTGTTGTTGTTTAATATTACATTATGTTCTGGACCTCTGGTTGAATGGAGATGCAAATAAAATGTTTCTATTCCTAATATTTTACTTATGTGATAGTTTAGCGTCTGGAGTTTGTGTTTGTTTAGGTTTTGTAAAGCATTTTGCAATTTACTAATATATGTTATGTATTGCAACATTCAGGGTTTTAGTTTTTTAGTATAGAAAATGTGTATCCACTACTTATTTAGATTATTTTTGCCGTAGCTGAAAAATGTCGGCAACTGCTTGGGGAAGAGCGTGCATCTCAGAGTGGGAAGTTTACATTCTTGAACTGCTTTGATATGAGTTCCGGAACACTAGCTTGTTCTGTGAAAGAGGGAGTGAAGCTGTATGTTAACAACATCAGAGCTGCTCATGTTGAGATGGTAAGGCATAAAGCGATTGAAAGTGAATTGTCTGATGCATTGTCACAGGGGATATCTGCTAAAGATGCAGCCAAACAAGCACAGGAAGCAGGAGCAAAGGCAGCGAAGCTGGCAACTCGGCAAGCCAAGCGGATAATAGGTCCTATCATCTCGTCCGGATGGGACTTCTTTGAAGCCATATACTATGGTGGTACAATTACAGAAGGGACCATCAGGGGCACGGGAACCTTGTTTGGCACCTATGGAGGAGGCTTTGTAGGAGAGCAAAGGCTTGGGAGATTTGGTTACCTTCTGGGAAGTCAATTGGGCAGTTGGGCAGGAGGTAGGATTGGATTGATGGTATATGATGTGATTGATGGAGTGAACTACTTGCTCCAATTTGGTCTACCTGAAAACAGTGAAGTTCGTGAAACTTCCGCTTATGAAAGTTCTGAAGGTTCTGATGACTCTAATGTTGATGAAGTCCCCACATATGAGAACCCTGAAGCTGAAGCCTATGAAACCTATGACAGCTCCGAAGCATATGAACATTCTGAACTGAGGTGAATGAAATGAATTAGGTCCATTCCGTTCTTTTACGCGAAATCTTATTCTGTAGATGTAATATAAGAAAATAGGTCGGGTGACTCGTTCATATTTGTGTATAACTTTACATACGGATGGTATTTCCACAGAATTGCATGCTTCATTCTTACACCGGAGGCTTTTTTCTCTTTGAAATGCATCGATAAACGCCATTTTGCTATCGTCTTACATTTTATACATAGTTATGTTTATTTAGAAAAATAGGGGAGGGGTAGTAAGCTAGTAAGCCTCTCCCATTGAGGTCTCTAGTAATTTGGAGTTCTGAAATAGAAGAGACTCACTTGGCAAGTTGGCAACCCAACCCCTGGGCCTAGGCCTTGAACATAGTTTCAACAACTTTCCTCTAGCTTAAGAGTTGGGCGAAAGGTCTTTTTCTGCAATAAATTAAATCGATAACATTATTGGACTGAGATGGGCTAAGGTTTTTAGATTTGGGCAGCGCTACAATGGGGACGCTAATGTGGTGGTATTCTAAATTTATTACCCTTTAGCACTTGGGAAAGTTTGAAATATCGTAACATTAACGTATTTGTTTCATGTAAGTTGTTCATCACAAGCAAGATATTAAAGCAAATTCAAATCGATTATAGATGCTAAAAAGTTGTGTACCAGTTTATTTGATTATAGTTGTCCTGCTACTGGCAATTCCCCTTGATGGGCAATCTGTAAAAAAATCAAAAAAAGGGCTAAGACCCTCTCTATAAAGTTCTCAAAGAGACTTGTAGTATGCACTGACCCTGGAATGAGTAGTCTATCCTCCCCCTAAACTTTTAGAAATCATAAAAATTATATTTGTATCGTGTTCGAGTCACCTGTCATGTATAAAGTTTCCACTTATGAAGAAAGGAACAAAGGATTTCGTTTCACCACGAAAAGAGATTTGAAAGCAATTTGTGAATTTATGAGGGCTCAAGTTGAAGCTTAAGTTTCGGCGTTGCATGGACTAGCAAGTAGTATGGGTGAAGATCTAATATGCCCATCACACTCTCAGGCCAGTGTAAGGCACATGGAATCGTGTGGGCAACACACACTCGTTGCTCAAATGGCCACAGTTCATTTGACTTCATCTTAACCAACCAATATGCTTATGGCCTTTGCTTTAAATTGATTCTTATTATTTAAAATTCATAAATTAAAGATAGGAAGCATTATGATTAACTAGTGCTTGATGGCATAGGGCAGGCCTTCCAATACTTTATGTTAAAGAAATCAGTTGATACACACAACTTATGATGGCAGAATAATAAATTAGGAGTGTGAATAGCATCTCTCTTGAAAAAACGAAGAAAATTAACATAAGCAATCGAAGATCCTACTAAACAAAGACTTACAATATAATATCCAAACACACAAATCATATATGTCAGAATTAATCCATGACATCAACTTAGCACATTTGAAAATCATTGCCAAAGGTTTTCACCAAATGCCCACAAAAATGTTACCATCTAAGAGGGAATTTTGGAAGTTATGTAGACCGGATTAAAAAGAACAAAGGTTAATTTAATCAAGTTAACCACATTCAAATTTTGAAAAACCATATATGACACACTGTGAGTTATAAGTAAAGAAATCACGAACATTACTGTTGGATAAAGTTCTAGAATACTGAAGTACTGAGAAAAACTTTTGATGGATAATAGAACGAAAAGATTACTAATATACAACCCTAAAAATATTTAAAAAGTTACACGAAACAATCATAGCAAAAGAAAATTAAACTTGAACGTACCAAAATAATTAAATATGTTTTTTACTCACTAAACATCCTCAAACTCCCTAAATCCATCTTAGGTCGTGGAAAAATAACGAGTTTGACTCGTCTCGTCATTTTCTTTCCATAAAGATATCTTGGATTGAAATGGACTCTGGAAACTCCTAAAACACTATTGCGTTGAAATTTATAGAATTAGTTGTAATACTTACATTTATTTAATATAATCATCATCTGACAGTAATATAACTCATTTGAATATATGTAGCTAATACATGTAAGTATGTATTTAATACAATCACAATTTAACCGTCGAGATTGTAATTGTATTTAACACATGTAAGTATTATAGTCAAATTTAACCAATCTAAAACTGCTTTTCCAGCCCTACTTCACGACAATAAAACATATCTCCAGTAGAGGTTTGACCTATTTCTATTGGTGGTCTTACCTTGATAACCTATTTCTATTGGTGGTCATACCTTTATCATGGTGGTAGTACAACGTGGTTTACCCAGATGTGATCTCCCGGGTGGTGGTACAATGTGGTTTACCAAAATGAGATCCCCCGTTTAATATTTTATATGATTTTATATTTATGAAAAGAAAAATATATAAGTTTTCAAAGTTGAACCCACTATTTCTGAAAAGAAATCCCAATTTCAGTGTCGAGTAGTCGCGTTGCAGCTATCGTTGGGAGTGAAAGTGGCCAAATTGGCACAAACAAGTAGACTTTATTTCTATCCCTACATTGCATGATAGACTTTATTTCCATCCCTACATTGCATGCTTCATGCCCTTTTCTTCCGACCAAAAGGGACATAAAAACATTATCAAAACCGAAATAACCCTATCAGTGGTCTACATCCATGCTTTATTACCTCCCTCATTGGATTCGATTTCAAAAATTAAGATTAAGGCAACTAAAAATTTTCTTTCTTATACAAGGAATAATTTAACTCTCTTTGTGTAAGTTTATTTTAGGTTGCCGGTCCTAAGTCCGGATAAAGAAGGTGGGAGAGGAGAGCATCCGGATTCAATTGTAAGTGTTCAAATAGGAAAGGACTGGGGGGAAAGGAGAAAATGGAAGAGGAGAGCATCAGGATTCAATTATATATCATATCTAAATCATTGAAAGTGGAAAGAGAAAATTAAAGTTGAAAAAAAAAAAGGAATAAATAATTTTAATATAACAATATCGTACGAAGTTGAATTCGAATTAGGAAGGGGGCTTTTACTGATTGGAATTATAGTGGCCATCCAGCTCCTGTAAAGCCAACTTAATCTTCAGCCAGAGAAAAAACAGAATAAGCATAGTGGAAGCTACGAGGCACATTGACAACGTCTAAGAAGTAAGAACTCAGTGTCTATGACAACATTGTAGATACATGAAGGCCCCACACGATATGTGTTGAAACAGCAGCATAGGTTTTGTCTTCAAATACAAAATGTTAACTCACTGTTGTAAGTTTGTAACACATTTGAATATCTAATTTTTGCAATCTACGGCATCCGAATATCTGATGATGTAAATCGGGGACCGATTTTGTGTGTTTAGAGATTGAGAAACTGCATAACCGAATCATTAACTTCGCCCAAACTAACTTGAAATTGTTTCTAAAATATATGGCAGAATATAATTCCAATAAAAGTATATATAAACAAAGAGAAATGATCGACGCATATTTATATTCATTTTTTATCTTTGAATTAAATAACCGACGAAGAATTACGGGACATATATAAACAAAAGTGTGAGTGATACACAAAAATCATTCCCAAAACAAGTAGCAGCTATCATCATTTTGATATTGAATGAAGAATTTGGGTGAAGAAACTTCAAAACTCAACCAAAGTTATATATTTATTTATTTTTAATCTGGACAATTACGTTATGTGGACCTGACTATGACATTGTTTATAGTTAGGATAAGGCAAGTGGGGTTCACAACAAATGTCAAGCCAATTGCTATAGTGTGAACTGAAAGATGCTGATAGTAACTTATGAGGCCAATACTCAAGAAAATGTTTAATTTACTATTTATATAAATCAGTATTGTGTGAAAGTATAAATAGGAGAATCTTTATCCAACTTACCTCATCTTGGAGTTCATGGGGATCTAAGCTAGGCCTTATTTAGGTTAAGGAATTGTTTCTCATTATGATATTGATCATGTAACATCGAACATCTAATTAGGTTTTTTAAGTGTTTTCATGTCTATTTGTCTAGGTGTTACTTTTTTCTCTTAATTTAATAAGAGACGGGTGTTGAGCTATCATACATATATAATGTGTAGGACTCTGTGTCTTTGATGAGGATATACATTTCGTGTTTTAGATTGTTCTACTTCGAAAATCTAATATAGTCTAAATTTTTATTTACAAACTCCAATGGTAATTAAGAGTAAGTACTATTGTTAAATGTATGATCTTATCAGTTGTCACTAGCTTTTGATCATGAGTGTCTACCATAAAAAGAGTTTTGAGGACTCCTGTCTCCCTTTTTTTATTTATTTATATTTAGGTCCCATTTTGTGCATTCAATGTAAGAAAAAAAGAGATGGCATCATTTTCTCCCATCGCTCTACATCACATATAACTACTTTTCCCTGCTGAACTAACCAGAACCGTTGGTAGGGATGGCTTGCTACTTTACCTATTCACACACATTTTTATCTATCACACATCTCATAATTTTTAACTGTCAAATCTAATAAACTGAAAATATCGATATGTAAAAATTAAAAAGAAGTGTATAAAAAACACTACCCTACCAGCATATCAAAATTTGTAACTCCGAAACTTAGCTGTATGCCTTGGGATCATGGCCATGTCCAATCCCGAGAAAAGCCAAGTTTCAGGTTTAAAAACTAGGAAGCACCATTGACTCTGATTGGTAAAGCGTTGAAGGTTAATCTCACCCTTGAATGATATTGTAATGAAAACTAGGATAAACTACATTTTATACTCCTCAAGTTTGAGGTAGCTTTTAAATGGAGTTTAAATTTTCTCATATAACATCATGAAGTTATTAAAATTATATCAATTTATACATTCATCTCTTTGAATGTCTAATATTCCACTCAATCGATGACATGGTATATGTGAGATTTATTTCCAAGTTGTCAAACAAGCCACACTGTCACTAATAGAGTTTGGACCAAACTATGCAATTGGTTATCGTTTTAAGGCACAAAGCAACGACTTAAGAGAAGTTCCATATTGAGTATATATATACTTCACATTAGCCTATACACGGTCATACAATTGATAAGCATAAATTGATACAAGTTCAAAACCTAATGGTGCCACATTAGAAAATTGAAGTTCACTACACCAAAACATAGGTTTTATGGTGCGCAATGCATGTCGTAGAAGTTGTTTACGATGCACAC